TTCCCTCCCACAAACCCCCCTTCCCACCTCCCTCCCACTCCCCTCCCCTCCAGACACAATAAACCACTTTTTGTTTTGAAAGAATAAACTGGTTTTTTTTATTTGGAGTAAATATAATGGGGGAGGGGGGGGGGGCGGGGGGGGGGGGGAAGGAGGTAAATGTCTGTGAGCTAATGATATTAGAGGTAATAATTGGGGAAGCTATCTTTGTAATGGGTAACGTAATTAGCAAAGCATGAATGACAGTTCAGAGGCTTCTCTTTGAAGTCTTGTGTTAAAACCAGCTGCCTGCACAGACTGGCTCCCACCTGCTGCCCTGCCCTGCCGCCTCTGATTCAGTGGCAGCAGCCCTGAGGACAGGGGCTGCACCAGCATCCCACAGAGTAGCCTCTGTCTGCTGCGAGCCTGGGCCCTGATACAGAAGAGAGGAGTCGACACTATTAACCAATAAGCCCAGGGTTATCAATTAATTGTGTGTTTGACTACACAACAGACATCTCTACCCAGAGGCCAGAAGTATCCTTATGCATTGTAAATCAGTTTGATGCAAAAGATAGTATGGACAAAGCAGCAATGATTCTGTTTATGCCACAAGAAGGTATATATCTCTGGGGCCTGATAAACCTAGGGCTGGACCAGCTCACAGGAGACGTCTACCTCACAGGAGGTCTGCCGTTGCCAAAACTAATCCTCCATCCCCCACCAAACAGATTCAAAATGAATACTTGAAAATGATAAAGATCACATTCTCAGCAGGGATGTAAAATCCTGTGTTGTAACTGAAATCAATATATTTGAAAATGTAGAAAAACAGTTAAATATTTAACACATTTCCGTTGATAAACCATTTAACAGTAGGATTCAAACTGTGATTAATTGTGATACATTTTTAATCACAATTTTTCGAATGATGGAAATGAATTGACAGCCCTAATTCATACAATACACTAGTATAATACATATTAAAACGATCTTTGCAATGATGTATCTGAATAATGGTTTACATAGTTTGTAGCACAGATCCATTACTAACATGTTTTGCTACAGTCAAACCAAAGGTGGTGGTAAATCAGTTTCATTGCAATATTCCTTGTTAAGACCAGCAGAAATCTCCATTATAAATGCCTTATTTTTGCCCTGGGAGAGCTACTGAACTGTGCACATTTCTAATGAATCTGCCGAGATTTTGTGCAACCTTTCCGCTGTTCGACCACTGATTAATTGCTCTAGCGGGAGAACAGGAGGATGGGCATGTCAGCGCTCTCCATTACAGTACAGCAGTTTCTCTCTCTACCTGCACAAAGCAGGTGCTGACTGTGGCAGCGCTTTACACCAGAAACGCTCAAGCACAAAGCGGAAGTGACGGAACACAGATCGCACATTTGTCCAAAATGTTTGCTCAGCTCCGTGTGTTGCAGAAAGCAAAGGGGCCGGCGGGGAGCACCGGCCCGGCCCGGCCCACTCACTCAGCTGGCGATGCGCAGCACCCCGCGCTGATAGTCCCTGTAAAGCTCAGGCGCCTCCCGGTTGCACTCGACGCACCGAAAGCCGTTGGGCTGCTCCATCCCTGCGGAGCGGCCGTTACCAAGCGCACCTCCTGCCCCCCCTTCAAATTACCTCGCCGCCCGGTTGTTGTTCCGGGCAAGAAGAGGCGCCGCGCGGTGCATCCTGGGCGTCGTAGTTTCCCGACAGGTGCTTGCTTCAGGGGCGCTGTGGCTGGAAACTACAAGTCCCAGGAGGAGGCGGAG